TATATATATATATATATATATATATATATATATATATATATATATATAGACTTGGGATCATGTGAGACCAACGGTTTTTCGTGAGACCCGTAAGACCAATTCTCAACCCTTGGATTAGATTTACAATCGTCAGATCTGAACATTTATAAACGCCACAAGACTTCTCACTAATTACGAATTTGCCACCTTGCAACTTTGCAACCATTAGATCATTAATTCATAAATTTGATCAATGAACATAAATTGGTCTTACAGGTCTCACGAAAAACTTTTGGTCTCACGTGAACCCAACCCTATATATATATCGGGTTTTTGGACAAGTTGGGTGGCCAAAAATCAAAATGAACTCGAATCCAACCCAAAAGTCGGGTTTCGGATTTCGGTGCATTCCGGTTTTGCACAAACACCTTATTTTGGGTTCGGGACAAAGACCGAAAGTGTAATTTGTGGCAAATCGGGAATACTTGACACTGAATCAAAGATGGAGAGGATGAAACCTGAAGTAAGGAATCAACATACAACTAATCCTTTATGGCTTTTCCCCATTACTATCCAAACATTTCCATTTTCTCAAACTCGATCATCAACAGTGTTTCGTATTTTGTCTTTCATCGTCTTCCAATTTTCAAGAAAAACAAGGTCAGAATTCCATTTTTTGAGTTTAATTGTCTTCTTAAATACTTCTTGCATCAGATTAATATATGATCGAGGTTCACAAATTCATTTTTGTGAACCTCAATTGACTCGAATCTAGAAACTCAGTTGACTCGGGTCGGAGTTAGGAGTCGTCGGAAATTTTCCAAAACCGAATAACCAACCTGAACTAAAATGGTTTCAGATTGTTTGGTTTTCGGGTTAAATGATTCAGTTTCAGTTATTCTTTTACTATAACGGTTTTAAACCGAATAGCAACTTATACCGTAATTTTATACCTAGATAACCGATTTGAGGTTTTGAGCATATAAAACAATTGACATATTCGTAACCATTTTATATTAAAGCCCACGTAACAAGATATTGAAATGCTCATCTATGCATGGCAACGGGTTTTGTAATTCGCGGTCCCGGTCCTGATCCTGGTCCCGATGGGTAAGGGGATTAACGTCCGTTAGATTTTTATCGGGGACCCTGGCCCCGGTTTGAGTCTATCGGGGATCCTCGGGACCCGTTTTAGCAGGGAATTTCCTTCCCCGTTCTGGTCAGGTGAGTCGGGTTCCCCATCGGGTCGGGGCAATCAACGTCCTTATCCCATAAGCCCAAATTTTTATTCCATATTAAATCAGGGGAAATGAAAATTCATTCTCATTTCCATTTCCTATCATTTTTATTTTCATTTCCCAACATGAAGCGAACATCCCTTTAATGTGATTAATAATAAAAACACCAAATTAGCTCGAGTCGGATATACTAGTTTAATTTACATAAATTGTTCTGGTTTCATTTACTTTTTGCAAATCTGAAAAGGCAGTGTCTGTGAACTAAATCAAACAAACCCAATATATCTCATCAAACGGTAAGGTTTGAAAGGAGTTGATGTATATACACGTACCTCGTTGAGACGAAAAGGTTGCTTTCGAGACATTAGCTCGCGAATTGCACCGATGTCTTGTGTCGTTTAATAATCTCTTTGTGGACTTTGTGTTTTTTGTTGTATATTAGGAATGGATGTTCCAAAAGTGAACAGCAAATTGCTTGGTGAACTTGAGGAAATGGGCTTTCCGTTCGCTCGAGCGACTAGAGCGCTTCATTATTCTGGTCAGTCAACTCGCAACCTTTCGACTCAGTAATCGTTCTCATAGAAAGTATAGATTAACGTGCACCCGTTGCTTTCGGATCAAGTAAAACCATGGGGAGAGGTTATCAGAAGTCGATTACTACCAGCTTATAACGATATCTTCAGCATATCCTCTAAAATAGAGAAAATGAAGTTTTTGTTTTCTGTATTGCTTCAATACAATAGATTCTCCATTTTATTCTCTAAAACAGATAAACCTAAAAAACTCCAAATACAGATAATTTTTTAAAACTCTCTACTGAGGGGACAGAGAGAAATGTTATTTATAATATCTCCCACCAATGGGATTGATTTATTAGTTTTTCATATAAAGTTTTTTTTTATTAATATGGATATCCAACCCGCTATGCGAGCCGACTAATCTCAGAGCGACCACCTGCTTTGCAGATAGCTCAGAGTCACCGCATTTGATCATCCGTGAATATAAAGTTTTTTTTTTTACGTATTGGGATGATAAAATAATATAATATTTTAATAATATAGTCGATGTTGTAATTCTCTAAAATACAGAATCTGTTGGAGCTGAATGTAATTTTTTAGAGATTTTGAATTTTTGTGTTCTCTATGCTCGCTCGGCCGATGTGGGATAAAATTTCACAAACTTCCTTACTTAAATTTCTAACGTCATCATCAAACCTACGACCCAAAAAAACCCCGTCTACTTCCTTTACTCGCCACTTATTTTCTTTTTGCTAACACCACATCCATCCTAAAAAACGAGTGAACAAATCACTACGGCCGTGTTTGGCAAAGTAGCTGATAAACTAGTTAGTTTATAAGCTAGTTGTTAAACTCATTATGCTCAGTAAGAAAATATTAAATCACAATGTAAAATAACGTAAAAAAGACGTCTGTAAAAGTTAATTGGGAAAATGTAAGAGGCATGATTGGAATACTATCTGTATCAATAAGTACAAAAAATAAGCTAACTTATAGATGTCGAACATGACCCACACCATCATAAATAGGTTTGTTGCCATCCAATGGTCTAGGCGACCCCGTAGGTCAAGCCTGTATAGAATCAATAACTCTTCATTTTTGGGGTGTTGCATTTTAGTTGTTGGTTCGAAGCTTATTTACGGGTTGTCTTCTACATGTTTGTCGTTACGGTATTTTGCTGAGCTTAAAGTTTCTCTTGTTCAAGGTAATTGTAGTTTGGAGGATGCTATTAGTTGGATTGTTGATCATGAGGATGACCCCGAAATTGATCAGATGCCCTCGGTATGATTTATTCTTTCTGATAATTGTACACTAGTCTGAAAGGTTTTAATATGACATGAGTAGTTTATTAACTTACAATTCTTTTATATCTTCCTGATTTTTCTTCCACCTATTTTGGTAGGACAAACAAATTGCATTTTTGTGCATATTGAACGCACCCTTAGGGTCTGTTTGTTAACAGCTTAATGAGACTTATAGCTTATTTGGGCAGCTATAGATATAACTGCTTGCTATTGGCTTAATGATATAGAAAGTTGTTTATTCAGTAAGCTTCTAGGAGGAGCTTTATATAGAAAGTCAAGTTTTTTCCAAACTTGTCCCTCTTAATTAAAAAAATACGTTAATTCTAACTACGGAAAGAAAAAAAAAACTCTCAATCTATAAAGACATTAATCTACACATTCAAGTTTATCCATACAGGAAGGACTTAATGGAAAACCAACCGAAGATAGATTTTGCATATCTTGATATCATTACATTACAAATTTGATTGAATGTGTAATTTCACCAGGTTCCAGTAAGAATTGAAATTGAGGGATCCAAATCTTCTTCTATGTCTGAAGAAGTAAAGCTAAAAGCACAAAAACTAAGGTTTGTTCTCTTGTTTTTTAAGTAAAAACATTTGAACTTCTAATTCTCCATGCAGTTTATTTGATAATAATATTGGATTCTCATATCAGCTAAACATAGACCATCAAACTTGTGTATATGTAGAAAGTAGAAACATTGTCTTTTAGAAAATTTATAAGGGTTCCAAATATCCTAACATGGAATTAGGGCTGGAGTCTACCAAATCTATGAACCCGACATGCTTTTTCGGATCTGTTTCTAGGGGGCACCATCTAGCCTCGGTTGGAGGGAGCGTGTTTTTCACATTGACCAGACACGGACCATACTCTCTCTCTCTCCCTCTCTCTATCTAAGGGCTCTTTTACAGAATTCATAGGAGTTTCACATATTTTAACATGGTATCAGAACATAAGTCTACTAGTACGAGAGGACTGGGTGGGACAACTTCTTTCTCCTTTGCATTGCTCAATCCAAAACTAGGGAGACGGCATATTTTTCACCTCTGTTCTAGGGGGCACCATCTAGCCTCCATTGGAGGGCTTGTTAGAGTTCCACATCAGGCAGACATGGACCATCAAATGTGTATATGTAGGAACCTCTCCTCTCTCTATGAGGGCTCTTTTAGAGAGAACTTATAGAGGTTCCACATATCCTAACAAATAATAATAGTAACAATTCTTGATTATATTACATTAATATACTTCATTCTTGAAAGCAGTTCATGTGACTACCGAAACTCGTTATTGCTTGCTTTCTGTCTTGAAATACCACTTTGTGCTCGATTTCAGATATAAAGTACAGAAAACAAACGAGGAAGATAAGAAGTTGGAGCAGGGTAGAGAGAAGGTATGTGGCCTTGTTTTTGTTACATACGGCAAAACTCATACACTTTTCACCTTTTTGTGAGACTTGAACCATTGACCTCCAAGTTGGCCACTACTGCTAACCTGGGTACCGCTGGGCTAATGACCCTTTGGTGGTATATCAGCAACACTTTGTTGCTCATTAATCACGACATGCGGTTTAAGAAGACTAAGGGCATGCTTGTTAGCAGCCTAATGAGCTTAACGGGACTCAAAGCTTATTCAGTTAACTATACATGACTGTTTTGCAGTAGGTTAAAGATATTGGAAGTGGCTTAATCAATAAGCTTCTAGGGTAAGCTTTATGCAGAAAGTCAAGTTTTTTACATGCCTGTCCCTCCCAATTAAAAAACATGTTCATTCCATCTATGAAAAAACCCTCTCAAACAAAAACCTTTCCAGTCTATACAGACATATTAATGCACACAAGCATCTTTATCCATACATGACCTAATGGAAAACCAACCAAACAGCCCTTACCGTACTCCCGCCCCCAGGAGTGTCATCCAGGAATATAGCAATCTTATGTGTTGGAAATACGCATTGATGCGTGTTTGTTTAGTTGTTTCTCGGAAATCATATACAGGACGCTTTAATCTCTTTCTTTCGCGTTTATAGGAAAGGATTCGGGCAGGAAAAGAGCTGCAAGAGTCAAAGAAGATTGCAGAAGAAAACGAAAGACAACGGTCTCTTTCTAGAAATCCCCCTTGTACATTTTATTTTTCGGTTTTTACTTAACGGGTATTATTTTTCTGTAATCACTTCATTAAATCATTTAAACTCAGTTTTATAGCCGTGCGGAAAGCAGAGAAAGAGGAAGAAAAAAGAGCACGGGAAAGAATTCGTCAGAAACTACAACAGGACAAGGTTAGACCATCTCCAACTCGTTACACTATTTCTTACACCAAAATAAAGTAACCTCAGTATATTTTTATTTGATTACGATTATATAGATTCTCAATAATACCTCTATATACATTACCTATACAAATTATACGCTTATGGATGCTTCCTATGATCCACAGTGTAACATCCCCGGCAAAAGTACCTCATATTGTTTGCTTTGTCCACACTTTGGCCCACAGTTTTAAGACGTGTCTGATAGAGGAGGTATTCAGTCTCTTATAGGGCAATCTTTGTTTCCCTCCCCGACCTATATGGGTCTCATTGATTATGCATACTTTTTCTGTTTATCCCGCTTTCCATCTAATACTTGTGAGTATTTTCTATTTGTTCATTATGAGGCTTCTAAGTTCTAACTCTTGGATTCTATTTAGAGTATTGCTTCCAAATTTGAATTCCTAATGTCCTTTTAATCTAATAGTATTCTATGTTTTAGGTAGAAAGAAGAGGGAAGGTTGGATTGGCTCCAGAAAGCCATGCATCTTATAAGACTGCCACACCTATGGTGCAAGAAAATAAGGTAACTTAGGCATCAAGTTTTGATGTCTAAGATTGTAATATCAGATTTTCTTAGACAATGAATTTTCATTATTTCACAAGTCGGGTCTTCATGCAAACAACCGTCCTACCCATTAGGGTAGAGGTCAGGTCTACCTCTACTGGTGGTATAGTTTGGTTCTCTCTACCCTCGGGGTCTAGTTTTGTGTACATTCTATCCGAGACCCTAACTTTGTGTGCGAAATATTGGGTTTGTTTGGTTTGGTCTGGTTTAATGATTTTTTCTTCATTGAATAGCAGGAGGTACTACCCCTTGTGTCTAATGGGATTCATGTTACTTCAACAACAAAGGTAGATCTCATGAGAAATTGTTTAAGGTCTCTCAGGCGAAATAATAAGGTAAGTTTACTAATGGGTACGAAGTTGTTGCTCGTAAGATTATGTTCTAACATACAATGCCTTAATAAGGGAGACCAATTTGTCAGAACGTAATCTTACGGCATTGTTGCTCGTATACATACAGAACTCTCTAAGGCAAAATGTAACGAGGTTTGCCTTAGTTTTTATTTAGTGTAACAAATAATATATTTTTTTCTCAATCAATATAACAGAGTTTCAAAGTTTCCTACTTTTTACCCATTTTGACAGATAATTGGGTGAAACTTTGTTGTACTAAATAGAAAATAAACCAAACTAAATGGGTACAAATTAGGAAAATTTTAAAGTTTGTTACATTAATTGAAGAAAAAAGATACTCCGTTACACTACATAGGAGCTAAACTAAACTTCGCTGCATTTCAATGGCTTTTGCCAAACTTTCTATATGTATCCATGTCGAGTTTTTCAAACATGAGCAGTCGGTGTCATTTGTAGAGCAATTAAGTCAAGTGAATTTTGGTCTAATCGTATCAGTTTATAACTACCACTCTTAGGGGCCCTTTACTAAATAAACGTTTACCCAGTAAAAGCTTACCAAGTCACATTACCTTATCGGATGAACATCGGAAGGACCGAGAATCTTACCCGGTAAGAGCAATGACAAGGACCAAGAGTCTTATCCGGTAAGTGAGAGTGATGACTCTTACCAAGTTAGCACTTACCAGGTAAATTGTTACATATAATATCGTTCTTATGGATTAAATTTTACCTAATAGGTAAGTAATAGTATTGTAAGTGCTTACCAGGTAAGTGTTTGGGTAAACGGCCCCTTAGTGGCCGTTTAGCAAAAGCCAATCGGCAAGAGACACCACCCTGACTTACCTTATCGGGTAACATTCTCGACCATCAAAATGGATTGTTGGTAAGCGTCTCTTACCCGATAAGCGCTAACCGGGAAAGAGTCTTCTCCACTTACCAAGTAAGATTTTCGGTCATTTGTCATGCTCACCCGATAAGCATTTGGTAAAGGCCCCTTAGATTAGTGAGGTCAAGTCAATTTTGAGACATTTGCATACAAGTTTGTTAACCGTTTATATGAAAGTGAATACGACGCAACCCACTTGCTACAATTACGATTGCAAGAAAAGTTTGTTACCTCTATTACTTCAATGGACTTCCATGAAACTTCTTTCCATATAGGATGATGATATCAAAGTGAAGAGGGCTTTTGAGACTCTTCTAATTTACATCAGAAATGTTGCAAGAGATCCTGATGAGGACAAATTCAGGAAGATCAGATTGAGTAATCCAGCTTTTAAGGTGACATATTTCTTGTAAAATCTCTAAAGAATAGGCAATAGAGGCACTAGAACCACATAGAATCCTCCATGAAGTATGTAGGACTCCATCAGTGCAAGAAGAGATGTGGGCACTTGAAATACTTAACCTCATAAAAGGGTGCTTTTTGTACGCAGGATAGGACAAAACAAAAAAAATGTCTGATATTTAGCGTAATATTAGATTTGGACATGGTGGGATCGAGTGAGACAAAATTGCATTTTTTGTTCCACCTAAAATAGATGGAACAAAAATAAGGGAGATGAGACAAGATTGGTAAATTACTAAACTACTCATGTTCAATTAAAACCCTAAAACCTTTGTCAATTCTTTCACCCCCGCCTACCTCACTCTTGTCAGTACAGTCCCTTGTAGTCCTGCCCAATCCCGTGCAGAGTACCAAATGCACTTGTACCTATTTCTTCTAAACAAGAGTCACCATCACATCTTATTACTTCTGCACTGTATAAAAGAGACCCACAAAATAAAGTTGTTAAATAATCAAAACGAACTCGACTTAATTTAGGTTCAACCTTTTCTTGAAGGTTTTGTGTTTTAATCCATTGTAATTGAACCGTTGTTGCCCATGACTGAAATAACAGGAAAGAGTTGGGATTTTCAAACAAGGGATAAAGTTTCTTGAGCTCTGTGGGTTTGAACAAGTCGAAGGTGGCAGGTATCTGTTTCTACCAAGAGCTAGGTTTGACATGGCTGAGTTTAAGTCAGCTGGAAACGAATTGCAGTCTGCTATAACAAATCCATTCTTTGGACTTCTATCAACAGAAGAATGATCATGTATATTCAAGCATACTTCATTATAAGAACTATCACAAGCTCTTGACTAAAGACTTCAATAGGTATACTAGTCTTCACCGGTCATGTATCTATTGATTGTTTGTGGGATGCTAAAAGCCTATAAATTTAAGGTTTCAAACTCTGATAGACATACTTTCTTGTTTTCTCTCGAACACTTTTTACAAGTAGGGGGCCTTCACAAAAACACCCGCTCTACTCCTTGGGGTAGAGATCAGGTCTACATACAAACTACCCTTTCCAGACCCCACCCCGGAATAGTTTGGTTCGATTTGGTTTTTCAAGTCATCAAGTACCCCTTTTGTGTGATTTGAGTAAATTGTTGGTCCATGAGGTCAGTCAGTTGGATTCAAGAAAATTTATTCTAGAAAAACTGCTCAGATAGGCTTCTTCAATTTGCTTAGAGCAATCTAGAGATTTTGAGTTCAAATTTCACTTTGTGTATCAAATCAAAAATTGTCTAACCTCAATACCTCATTTGATGTTCAATGTTGCATGTGTCTTTTGATGTAATCACTGTCATTCTTCAACAGTTGTTAAGGAACGAACCATCTACAAAGAAGAGATGAACACCCATTAACATTTAAGGAATGAACCATCTATTAAAAAAAAAAAAGATAAACACCCATCAACAGTTAAGGACTGAACCATCTGTGAAGAAAAAAGAGATAAAACCCCTTTTAACACATGAAATTTAATTGGAGATTGAATTGATAAAGCCGAAAGACCAAAAATCTAAGTCATCGTATGGTCCTGTCACCTGTGACCATAAGCACCTTTCGAATGTCTGAAGGTATATAGAAATATTATGTGCTAATATTCAACTGTAAGCTACAGTTTTTCTGTGGGAAAAATACATATTTGAATACAACAGCGAAAATGGCTAAATCTTGTTCATATGTTAGACTTTGCTTTCTTTTCAGTCTGATGTTGGACCGGCATGCTGCTTTCCTACAGCTTTCCAAGCTGCATATTTTCTGCTTTCTTGTTTGTATCTCTTGATCTCTCTCACAACCGCAAGAATCACATGTAGTGAGAGTGGCAGAAAGAAAGGCTGTCAAGACAAAAAAAGTTATGCAGTTTGATGAACAAGAGAGCAAAAAGATTGGAACGAGAAAGAAACTAGGGATTCGAGAATGACTCCCAAATATAGGATTTGATGCTTAGCATCTCACTGAAGAATAAAACTTGTGTGAAAATATCCCCAAGACTATCCATCTTCTGGCCTTATAGATAGGCCAATGAAACAAGAATAAAGAACATACGCTTGTTGTAGGACAATATAACTAAAATAATTAAAACACGCCTGAATAAAGTAGGGCTGCCATAAAATATACTTAAGGTAATTATACTGAATATTTGTATAAACCAAACCAAACCAAACCAAACAAAATGAACCCAATATAAATCATTTGAAAGTAGGGTCGGGAATAAGATGTAGGCAGATCTGTCCTCTAACCCAAAGGTTAGATTAGTTGTTTCTATGAATACCCAATATTTGCATCTAGGATGCAAAAGGGAACTTAGAAGAGTAAAAAGTTGCAGACAACGTGACTTGTAACAGAACTAGGGGCTGCAAATCAAGGCCACAAGTGCATTTAGGTAACCAATTTGTGAATCACTGTCTCCCAACACTCATAACATGCTTAACAATAATTATATGCATGTTTTGACGTTATTTATTTACTTGCTTTGCACTACATCAGTAACATGGGTTTCATGGATATATACACATAGGGCATAGCACTTCATTTATAATACAGTTTTAAGAGCAAGTTTCAGAGATATTTTACTCTTTGGAGACATACCCAAAATCATGGCATAAAAACTGTCGGCACAAAAGAGAAGCAAGCCTAACTAATCCAGTTAGTGTCATCTTATTTCATTTTAGACCTAGATGGTTCAGCATTTCTCTCGGCAACTCTTGGAGATTCCATTGTTTACCTTATGTTCTATATTCTACTTCATTTTTATTTTCCTTTTTGTTATTAAATCAGCTCTCTCTCGTTTTGCGACATTATACTCCTTTCATCTACCGTTTATTCATTTTTCTTAATTCTTATTCCTATCATAGTGGATCAGCACAGGCAACGTTCTTGGAAACTAAAAGAAAGAATCAAATCTATCATATGTGCTTTCGCCATTACCATATACAATATATTTTTATAGACATGACAAAATAAGTAGTACTCCCCCACGTCCCATAACAATTGCAACGCTGGTCTCCACGCATAATTCATCAAGTCTTTGGGCTATTAATCAGATGTTGAAAGTTGAAACTACTCTTTAATAATGCAATAGAGAAAACTTGTGGGCCAGAAAGCAAAAGCAATAGCATCCATAATTCTAATGACAAAAATTGAGAAATAGATTGATTGAGCTTCAAATTATGAAGAAACAGTACTTTCAAAGTTTTCATGGGACATCCAAAAACAATAATCTATGCAATATTCGAGATTGGTAGTAAATGAAATATTACTGATCATTGAGTGAGGCCTTTTGCACCATCTTTCATGGCTTTCTGTTGCAAAATTAACCATCCTTCTTGTGAGCATGTCAAATAAAACAGTGTAGTTTGCAAGAATGAGACATTGTGGGCAAATTTTGGATATTTAATGAAAATAAAAACCCTTCACACTTGGTACTGCCGATTCTGCGAAACATAGCTTTTTTCTTCTTTTTTCTTTTTGGATTTTTACAAGAATTAAGGGTGTTTTGAACATAAGGCCAAATTAGATCATTCAGAAAGGCATTCATTCAATAATAGTGATAACAGACGCCTTGTATAGACCCTCGGCATTTGTTCCCACAGTAAGCTCAAAATCTCACCATGAATGTTATTAAATGAACTTGTAATTCATAACCACAAATTTAGAGAAACTAACCGAGTAGACAGCAAAACAGTGCTCAAATGAGTAGTAACTGACAGACATTACGGATGGGTGAAAGAATGCATCCTCAGCCAAGGATCGAGCATGCCTCGAGGAAACTGCCAAAAGTGCACATATAGCCATATGTAAAACAGGAGCTAACAAAGATACATGAAACAAATAAAATTACTTATCAGTCAAACATACCAACTGAAGCATCAAAAATGCCTTGTGAGGCATTATTCTGAGCTAATTTTGCAGCCTCAAGAGAAAGCTTGACCTGCTCAAACAGGGAAGAAGTCCACAGATGTAATTGCTCAGTTATTAACTGGATTATAAAGAACATTGAAATTACAAACATGCAAATTCCAAATGTACTAATCTAAATCAATAAAGAGATTGCGACAATGATAAAAGATAAAATAAAGTTCTTGAACTGTGTGCCCATGCATTCAAACAAGACATCTCAATCATTTATTTAGGTTTATGAGGGTGTACACATGTACCAGAGAGACAAATGGCATGGCTTGGGGGCTTCACATGTTAAAAAACAAATACGGAGGGAACATCTTCCTAATGAATTAGAATAATAACTTTGTAACCCAATTGGAGTAAAGAATTAAATGTAACGGCTAGAGATTTGAAGATTGAGAGACAATGGTCAAAATAGAAGGCAACTCGACACAATTGGAGAAAGTAAAACCGAAAAACAAAGGAAGGTCTGCAATTAAGTAATGTCCATGTTATGTAGATACATCTTCAACCAAATATGTAACTCTAATCAGTCTTATGTTGTTCTACAGACTCCTAGAGTATAACTTTGTGGAATAGTGTCAAGAAGCATGCGGGCGGTAATGCAAGAAATTCTACACGATGGTCTATACTTCACTCTTTATTCAACATTCCCAAGGTCAAATTGCTATTTTTCTTCTGAAATTTTAAGCATGCACGAGAGAGTTAAATAAATACTCATTGACTGTGGCGCATGCCCTCCATATATCAGGATAGTTCGACCTTGTTAATATAGAAGATTGCAGACAGCCAATAACAGTGCACCTTTTATAACTGACCTGTTTTCCAATCTCATCCTTGATGATCATTCTTGGTAATGATTGGACCTGCATGAAGAAAGTTTCTTAAGCCAAGATGCCTGATTGAAGTCCATAAAGGTATTGAGAACTGAAACATACCAATCTTGAAAGTGATCCAAGGGTTGTACCACACTGACGAAGATTGAAGCATGCATGTTGCCGAGCCAAGACATCTAGTTCCCTGCATATGGTGAATAGATAAAAACCTTACCGTAATTATGTCACATTATAAAATTCTAAACTATTAGGGTATATAACTGCAGTGTTCTCCCCTCACTTCCCCCCCGACCAAAAAACACCACTACCCAACCATGACCAGCTATAAAAATAAAGATCTAAAGGGGAGCAGGCCCAGTAAATACGGATGCAATCATCAAGCTAAGAGAACGGACTGAACATTCATTTTCCATACAGAAACTTTTACTTCAAATGACGGTTCAAAATATAAATGATTCAGAAAGGCAAGACAATCATCACCGTTAGTTACCATTCTGTAAAGCCTCTTTCACTAGCTAAAAGAATAGACGAGCCTGATGCACCCTTGTAGAAACCAGTAGATTTTAAACCAAACAATTGCCGAAGCTGCCCCATGAAAACTTCAAAAATCTGGTTAAGTTCCTGTTTCAAGATCATTAACATCAATCCTTGTTAGAAGATAAAAAAACTCCTGATATGCATGAGATATTTTACTAGATTGATGAAACCAAACCAAACGAGCACCGTATATTCCACCCAAAGGTTGGGTCTGGGGGATAAAATGTACGGAGACATGGCCTCTTCCCTCAAGGAGTAGAGCGGCTGTTTCCGTGAAGACCTCGGCATGTGAGAAGTGTGTGAAATATATAGAAAGTTTTCCCAAAGAAATAGAGAGAATACCAAGGTAAGAAAATCACACACCTCTAATCTAGCATGCAATTTCGGTACCCTAACTGTCGTTTTACTAATCCTGCCTCCAATCCTCTATGGTTCTACCCCTACAGCTCTGGTCTACACTAGCTACGAATGCACACCCCTACTTTGCTATCCTAGTCATGCGTCTCCAATAACCCCCATCAGAGATCATGTCTCAGAAATACCTAAAGTTGTCATGCCTAAATTTCTAATTTCCATTTGATGAATTAGAGGTCTGATTTTCAATCACCTGTCCGTTCGTGTGTTGACACCTTGGAAAACAATTTATATTCTCCCAAACAGTTCATTACAAGAAACAATGTTTTCTCATGATATGGATTTATTCTTTCATTTCTACAGGATTGGTCTCCATAAACCTCCTATAGTGACAGCAAATCAGTTCAGCAGATTTTGATTTTTTTGGAGAAACGTGATCGCAATATCAAGCTTACATACAATGATATAAATTTAGATGACTATGCAATGCTGGTACAATGCCCACTATGCACATTAAGCAACCTAAACTGTTTATAATAACCTTCACTTTAGAGTTTTTAACAACCATATCTATAGGAGTTCACTGAATATATTATAAGCATATATTTATTTTTAACCTGAGGAGAAACTTTGCGCCTGAGAGGGTGCATGCTATTTGCATTTCCCAAGCAGTTGGGAGGATTCAAAACTACAACACCTCCCCATGTCTGCAATATTGAGTACAAAATGAAATCAAAATTCCCAAAACATATAGGTAAAAGAATAAAAATAATGGTGTAATAGAGTCGGAAGTTCACTGGAGATATAAAGGCATTTGTCATGGAAATCTCTCCATTTGGAAGCTGTAACCTGAGTGGGCATTCATTGGCAGATGGTATATATCTGGAAGTGCAAAGACATACAAGTGCACACAGCATTAGAAAGTTATCACAGATGGCAGCTACAAATCTTATAGAAGCCGTATAATCAATGTATAACAAACAAGTTGAGCTTCAGAAGAGCAAGTGAAAGTTCTAAATTTTGAAGAATATGCTCCTTCAGTTGCTTCTACAAATCACCATCAAACGACCTTGAGTTTTTTATTTTGACGTTTCTGTAGCTTTGAGCTTTCAATTAACAAGAAGTTCTTTAGAGGCATTACCAGGTAATTAAAAAAAATTGATGCATCTTCTTCTCACAAGTTTAGCTTTTACCGATCAACCAAAAAACTGATAAGAACCATGTTATTGCTTAAGGTGAATGCATATGATGAATTTATTCTAGCTTCTTTACTTCTACAAAAACAATCATAAGAACAAGGCGACATTGAGTTAAAGAATATACACCACAAATTGCAAAATCTTTGACCGTCCACCAGCCGCAATTGAAGTATCCAGGTGCCATTCATTTGAATTCACCTACAAAACTTATACAATGTCACTAAAAAAATTATACTTGCATCATAAATTATACAACACATGATTGTCAAACTCTACTAAAACACATCCTTATGGGTGTAGAATCAAGCTACACAAGACCATCAGGATCTCTGAAATCAGCCAGCATACATTGATAAAATGAAAATTTGACTCTCACACAATGTAAAACCAGATGATGTAAAGCATATCTTATCATCAACTTCTACGGGATATACATAAATCTTTTACAAAATGGAAGAATGAGATGAGGCCAAAAACTTGTTTAAGTGCCATTGCAATATACCATCTAATATCCATCTGTTACATACCGAGTATTTGATATGCAGCGTTAACAATATATATTTTACCATGCTCTTATTTTTAGAGAATGCAAGGGGAATTAGGATTCTGAACCCATGATCTCCTAGGTATTACCGCCTAAGGAATGAGGCCAAACACCACCATGCTAAATGTTGGTTATTTTCTCTTACTTATGCAAATTGCTTTTCTTCTTTTTGCCCGTGTCTGATATATAATCTAGATATTAGCATGAAAACTTGCACATGCATCCGTACACATTGGAAGTAGAGGAAAAGCTACATTTTTAAGTGCTGTTGGTCCTATTAGTGAAGTCAAGAAATAGCAAAAATTGACATAAAATAAATGTTAGTAGTTTGTAATAACTTTTCAACTTACAAAGAACGGAAGATCTTTGGTGCTAAAGATGTGGCTCTCCACTTCCACATCCCAATAAGAATATGAAGATTTTGGAGTATGATACAGAACCTGCATGGGGTAACTCTCATATAAATTGCAGAATCATAATCCTTGCAAAGCAGCAGAGTTTCCACTGAGAACTTCATTATCAGAATTTACATGTTACCTGACTTTCCACGCTTATATTTGCTATAGGGCCCAAGGCTTCAAGTGTAGGGGATAGAACTTTCTCATCTACCTCTTTAAAATCCCTGCAGATAGAATGCAGTTATAAAAGTGAAGAACCATGCAGAAACATCTATTCTAGAAAATCGCAAAACTGTTCATGTTCCAACTAGTAAAAGGGTATGAGAAAGTATACACACAAAAATTCTACAAGATACAGGGCGCAAAGCAGAGCTCTGAGCCTGAGAACTTAATCTTAGAAAAAGTTATAGAGTCATTCAGTATGCCAACTTGGAAATAGTAATTCCCTTAAAAGCTACATCACGTGTGTTGAAAAGTTCATTATCATCAAACCAACTCGCAAGCATATGTTACAAATTGTTGATCTCAGCAGTCAGCATCCTAATGCAGATGGTTATGTTTCATACACCAGCTTATCTCCAAATAATTCAATAACTTATCCAGCTACCCCACTTTGTAGGTCAGGGCATCACTGCATTACCCCATAGACCATAATAGATGGCCAAGCTTGCCTGCACCAGGACAGCCTGAGGTACCACAAGTGGTGCACAGCGGAGTAACCAAATGACGAGGAAATGCATCAATTCAAGGCACGTCCCTCCATTTGATGCAGAGAGAAAGGGCATCTAGCACTCAGGCTTCTGATACATGTTCATTGTTCCCCTTCCAAACCCATAAGCAAAACAGGGAAATTCATTAGCCGGTACAAACAGTCAAATTATTTGACAAGTAGCATGCAAACCCCTATTAAGGCTTGCACATTTGTTATGACACTGCTCCATGAGTGAAATTGTGTTGTCATTATCCTCCGACACTCATCCCACTGCCTAATTAATTCACTACTGTTACCATGTTGATAATTGGGTCTGACTGTTGACCTCTGATACGAACATGGACGTTTAGCATCTCTTTTATTTCTTGTTTAACTGCTGTTTTTTTATTTCTTTTATTTCCTTGTCATATTTATGCATGAGTCCATTGTGTTGCATGCTTATAGTGACATTTTGTAGGAAATTGTGTTAAGGGGATGGTAGGTTGGTTAGGAGAATATTTAGGAGTAGTTAAAGCATCATGGTCATGGGTCTTTACATATTGCTTGTACGGTTACTATTTGATTTTTATGCAGAAAGTTATAGTCTTCCTTCTTCCCTCTCTTCTTTGGAGATCCACCCATCTCGAAACGGGTTATAACAACCTCCTCCATATATTTCAGAATACGGCCTCAATTAAGTATATTGGGCTAGACATCATATCTTATTATTATGCAAAACTTGGACCAGAGACTTTATAAGAGAGGTAGATCAAAAGCAACCCAGATATGTTACTACTACATGGTTACATAAGTAGACCTAAGTGTAAAGTAATATTCTAAATTTGCAATGTCTAAGCAAAACTACTTTAGTCAGAATCTGAATGAGGTGAATCTTGTTTACAGAAACAAGAGCAGCAAAGTCCTGAGACTCCAACAATCAGATTAGATTAGAACACAATACTTATCTGAATATGAAAAAAAAATCTGCACTCAGTAGCTCACGCACAACAGCATGATCAGATAATTACCACAGATACATTTCCATATACTAAAAAATATAAATATGTGATGCATATATGACAGATCAAGCAACTAAGAGAACAATAAATCTCCATACCAATCATAAATCCAATCACGTGGATCGGCATTTAACAAATTGAAAGAAAGCACAATTTTCCCATCAGCACCAACAGGCATAAACTCCCCTTGCATGGCCCCTTCTTCTTTTGCACCACCCACAAATATCTTAACAAACATCTCAGCTACTTTCTCCGCTAGCATATCCACCTCTGAAAACCTGCCTACAATCCAAGCATGTCGATGCTTCCCCACCACCGCCCTCACCCTATACCCTTCACCAGCATTCACAACTACAACAGTGTAAACTCTGCCCCTTCTTCCTACAACAGATTCTAGATATTCATCTAAAACTTCATCGTTTTTCACAGTTTCATCAAATTTGAACTCACTTAGTGCCCCACATCTCCATGCCCTCCCTCTATCAGCATCTTCGTACTCTACACAGCCATTACCAGAGTCTAAACTAACTGAGACTGTGTATTTGCTTTCACAAGTGCCACAAAATGAATTACCATCAGCTAATTGTAACATATGACTGCTAACCAAAAACCCTAGCTGTTCAGCGTTTTGCTTTATGGGAGTACTGTGCTCAAAATTAACAAACACTGCATGGAATTTACACGGAAATAAAAACGGATTTGAATCAATTGCATTTGATAATGAATCTATGTCGCGAAACGGAAGTGGTGATCGGTAGATCTCTATCGATTTAAGCAACCATGGAAGACCTGTATAATAAAACCAAAACAAGTCAGCAATATTGGCCTGCATAAATACATATGAGTTTAAAGTGTGTCTCCACACAATATGTACATAGAGAGAGATACCCAAGAGGAAAGAGAAGAAAACAGTTAGGGTTAGTGCGAGACGCTTCAATCCAGGTTTTGACTTTCGCATTGTTTTATTATCGAAATTCGATCTTTCTGAGTTTTCGTTTCTGTTTTCTTCTGAAGGAGACGACTCATTTCCCATAGTTTCAGTGATTTCCGCCATTGATGAACCTCCGAAGCTCTCTGCTCACTTCGCTGTATTTTTTTTTACTGGTAACAACATGTTCAAGAGGTTGTCTGTCTTTTCTATAAGATAAAAAGCAAAAATTAAAATCTTTAAATTCGATTCTAATAGATTATTTACGGTTATAATTTTAAATTTTATATTTTGGTACCAAATATGTAAAGTTATTTAACTATTTGGATAATCAGTTAAAGATTAGTTTTAAATTAAAAAAGACTAATTTTAAATTAAAAAAAATTATATCACTAATCACGTTAGCAAACAATATTAAGTTGAATATCACATCAACATGATAACCGGTTAATACTTTAATCGATTATTTAAATACTTAAATGTATAAAACTTTACATCTTATATATCAAAATAAAATTTTTAAAATTAAGTTACTCAATATTTGAATCAAGTTAAAATATATTACTTTTTAATTTATTATTTTAATGTATTCTTTTTAATCGTCAAATTTTAAAGAATTCTTTAAATTTGGAGCTTTTTCATCTTTTATCTATTTTATAGAACATTGTAGAGAAGCTCTTGAAACACTGTAGAAACAAAAAGTTGATTTTCTCTATAATTTATCTAAAATAGAGAACTAAAATTCAAAACCTCTAAAATAAATTATAATTCATCCCAATAGATTCTCTATTTTAAAGATTTTATTATTAATTATATTATTTAAATATGTTATAACTTTATTATCCCAATACATTTTTTTAAAAATATACATAAAATGATATTAATTCAACTTTCTTTGATGGAATGAGTAAAAAAAACTCATTTCTCTCTTTTCTTTTTTGATTTTTAGAGAACTAGTTGTGTACTCACGCAATGCGGTGGGAGCTATGAATTTTAACGATTTTGAAGTTCCACTGGTTTTATAAGATAAGATTTAACGATGATATAAGTTACACTTGGTTTTTACATATTAATACAATTTGAATAAATAAGAGTTATGGTTCCAATTACAGACTATCGATGAAAAAAAATGTATGACAGTTTAAAATCCAATATATTTATAATCCAACATATTTAAACGACTCCACAAATGTGTTCGATTTACACCAAGAGCAAAGAACCAAGAAACTTGAGTTTTAAGATAAACACTCAAAACCAATAAAGAAAACTACAAATTTGACAGGTCATAAGCCATGAAAAGACTAAAAAAGATGGGTTTTAGAATGAAATTTCAACTGCTTACATGTATATATATATATTTCAAAAAAACCCAATAACATATTAATTTAGAACATATTATACAGTGCAATTTGGACAACCAAACCCCAAAATATATAATATATATATAAATAAATAACTATAAAAGTATAAATCGTAAATATTAAAAATATTTTTTCACAATATATATAATATATTAATAATATAATTAAATCAAAAACTATTCAATATTGGACTCATTTCGAAGGTATTAACGAGAAGATTATAATGGTGTAACTTGTTAAAATGAAAATGTATTTTTTAAACATGTTTTAATTRATATACGATTATGTATGTTAATTTGATAAATGTTTAAAATGAAACATTTAAAAGTAAATGACGTAAAATAAATTAATTAATTAATTATAGGGGTATAAAGTGTAAATTTAAAATTATAATTTTAAAAAAATTGGTTGTGAGAGGGTGAGTGTATATGAGGGGTGAGTGTATGTGAGGAGAGGAGGGGGTGAAAAAGTAGTATAAAGGATATATTGGTCATTTAATATTTTAAGACTTTAAGATTTTTGCTAAATTTGCTTAATAAAATAGTATAGATTCTTTATATTTAGAGTTTTCTTAATGATTCTCTATTTTAGAGAATGAGATAGAAAAATTATTGGAGCATTGTAAAGAACAAAAAGTTGATTTTCTCTATCATTGAGAAGTTTCTGGAAATGTTTTAAAAGTACTTTAGGCTAAATTACAGTTTCAACCCTTGCAATTATGAGTTTGTATTTTCAGGCCCTATGCTGTAATTATGAACAATTTAGTACAACTAAGGGACCGTTTACGTAAACATTTACCCAGTAAACGCTTACCAGTAAAATTCAACACCATCATTTACTTACCAAATAAGATTTTATTCACCAAAACGCATCATATGCAACAATTTATCCCGGTAAACACTAACCATGGTAAAAGTCGTTGCCCTCACTTACAGAGTAAGACTCTCGTTTATTGTCTTCGCTTTTACCAGGTAAGGCTCTTGCTTCATGTATTCGCTCTTACCGGGTAAGATTCTTAATCATTGTCATATTCATTCAGTAAAGTAATGTGACTTGGTAAACGCTTAATCGGGTAAGTGTTTGGTAAACGGCACCCAAAATTATCTACAATTTGAATATGACGAGTGTGGATGTTGGATGATCTCCAACAAATTCTTCAAAAATCTTCAAATTAGATAATAACAATTCAAAATTTCCGAGAAAGATTGTATTCAACTTCAACGGTTTTTCCGTTTGGAAGATTATAACTTTAATTATATTATTAAAAATTGTAACACCCATAATGTTGTTATTTTCATTGAATTATAAATTACGGGATTTATCAGGTTGATTTTGTAATGAGAAATAATCATTATTCAGTCGATATTTTTCACCTTGATAAGATACTAGTGACGCCGTGGAGACAGTTGATGAATGTTTTAGTGCAAAATGATTAAGTGAACATATTGATTAAGAGACTCTTATAGTATAGTGCAAAATGAAATATAATTGTTTGGTAATTATTCAGAATGAAATTATGGTGCTGAATGGTTAAGGGAAGTCCATGATACGAAATCATTCAGATGGTTTAGAATAATTAAGAGACATACTTTTGTCGATTTTTGTTCGATTTCGTCTTCACCACGGGTTTGAAAAATACTCTCTCGTCTTCTCCATCAGCTTTCTCTGTCGATTTTTGTTTGATTTACGATTTTTTCTTCACCACAATTCGTTAGTTCGATTTATGAGCTTACAAATACGTTTTTGCAATGCTTTTGTTATATGAATCTATTTGCTAAATTTGCTTGCTTTTGCTATGTACTGATGTGTTATTTTAAGTATATAACATTTATATACGACATATGTAACAAATGAAGTTGAACTAAACACACTAATGTTAACAATAACATGTGGACATAAAGTTGGATATATTAACCACAAAGGTGGTGTCTGAATGGTTTGAGTTTGAGCTTCAAATGTTAAAAGCATATGGAGATCTCGTGTTCGAATTCAAGAATGAACAAAATCTTCTCGTGGCCACAGAGGTTTATAGACAGTGACTCCGGGTACCCAGCGAAATGAATGGTTACCATGGAATTATTCGGCTCGCATAACAGATTGAATATCCAGATTAATAAAAAAAAATTAGGTATATTATGTCTTGATAAATAACATAATAAAAGCATCTTTAATCAATTAATTTTATTATTTTAAAAAACAACATTATTTATTCAAAAGTCAAAGTCGTTGATATATTAAAAAATTGAATGGCCACAAATATTCTTAAAAAAAAAGGCCCACAATAATATATTAATTAAAAAAAAGGATTTTATTTGAAAAACCTAAAAACCAATATATATTTTTATAAAGAGTAAATTGTATTAAAAAATTAAATACTTTAATTTAATTATATTTTAGGTAACATATTTTTAAAACTTATATTTTGGTACATAATATGGGGGGAGGCGATCCATGGTTTTCAGATAAATATCTGATTTTTTTGTCCAACAACTCAGATACATGTGAGACCTCTACCGTACTTTTTAAGTCAAATCGGCCTCACATGGTATTTTTAATTATTTTTATAATTTCGAAAAAAAATGACGTTTGTATTTTTGAAAAACTGCATGTTTCTAAAAATGATTGTAAATTTTTATTTTGTATTTTGCTTAAATAATTACAGTTTTTGTAATAAATTTTAGGCCTACTTTTTAATGATAAATAATTCTTAAACATTAATTACTATTCATGTCAATTTTTAAATGAGAAATTCACTATAATAGCCGGTTTATATCTCATATAATAATAAAATAGCAAATTTTCAACGTTTTTTTATAAAATAACTATCATGATCGCCCCCGGGGCGATTTTACCATATGGGGGCGATTTGACCAAAAAGTATACAAGAGGTCCTACATGTAACTAATTTGGGGGACAAAAAATCAAATATTTGTCCCTCAAACCAGATACAAATAATTTTTGGGGGGACACATCTGATTTTTTGTTTACCAAATCAGATACATATGAGACCCTTTGTATATTTTTTTGGTCAAATCGCCCTCGGGGGCGATCCTAGTAGTTATTTTGTGAAAAAAAACGTTTAATTTAGGTATTAAAATAATTTTTTTTAAAGTAAGTTATCTAAAATAGGAATAAGACTAAAATACGTTGTATTTTCGTGTAATCATGATGTCATTGAATAACTATGGATTATAAAACTGATTATTCTTTTCCTATTGATTTTAGAAATGGTTATTCTTTTCATCTGATACATTTGTATTTAACTATAAGGGTACTCAAACAATGCAACGAGATATATCTCAATTTTAGTGTTTCGTTTTATTTTGTCTCCGTTGATGGTTTTGGGAAAGTGTTAATATTTTTATGTTTTATAATAAAATATAAATGTTAATAAAAATTTAAGAAAAGATATATCGATATTAGTATCAATTTAACTATTTAAAAGTTCTTATTTTTTGTGTAATTTCTTTTATTCAATTTTTTTCTTATCATTATTTAGTTTAGGTTTAACAACGAATTAATTTATTGTTGGTTTAATAATGTTATAATTTTTTATAAAAATAATAATTAAGTGTTCTGTTAAAACGCAATGATTATTCTGATTATATTTTAGATTTTTTATATTTAAAATGAGATATTTATCATGTATTTGATTATGTTTATTTGCAGTTAGTTACACGAATTCAAACATGAAGTTTTAATAACTTGTAATTACGCACAATTTACTTGTAATATATTGCATTAAATAATATGTATCGATAAAAATTACTTTATG